TTTCCCTAGCCACCCCACTCCCAATTCTGTTTTTGTTGTTTCTATGTGTGTTCCCAGATAATTCTGTATCCTTATGTCTCAAACACTCGTAATATCATTTTGTAATTGCTCATTTTCTCGTCTGTCTTCCCTTGTTAGATTTTAGGTTTGTAGAGATCTGGGAATGTGCCTGCCACTCAGTTTTGTACCCCAAATGTCTCTGATAGCCCCTGGCATAGTGTTAGTGTTTGTTGAATGAATAAATACACTTATGTAAACATGTTTATGTTCTTTGTGGGTTTTTATAGATTGATTCATTAATTTATAATAAAACAAGTATTAATTTATGCCAAGCGTGTGTCAGGCAGTTGTCTAGACAGTCTTGCCCTGAAGGAGCTTATAGTCCATGGAGTGAACCAGGTATGGTGCTTTGAAGACATTCAGTTAGAGTGTGCTAGAGAATAAAAGTGGCAGGCAGGGCTTGCTGCTTTACCCGGAGTGGTCAGGGAAGACTTCTGAAATAGATGACATTTGAGCTGGAACCTTAACTAGGAGAAGGAAACAGTCGTAGGAAAATCTGGGCAAAGAGCATATTGTAGTCAGTTTGAAAAAAGGCCAATTAGCTAGAGCAGAGGGGAGTTTAGGATAAGCTAGGTTTTGTGCATTACCTAGCTTTATATGAAGAAAAACTGCCTTCATGGTCTGATTGTATACCCTGCGCTAGTCAGTTGTATGGAAAATAAATGTTTTGGTTAGAGCAGGCATCTGGTGAAAAAATGGATGGAAGGCTTATTTCAGATTTTTGTCAATACTGGAAGGACAATTCAAGTACATGGTGCGTGGGATTATTCTTTGATCACATGAAGTGAAAACTTGGAAAAACTTCTTAAAACTCAATTAGCTTAAAAATCTAAAAACATGTATGTCTTTATAAATATAGAAAGTCGGTAAATACCTACTTTGGGTAGAATTTTTAGAATTTTTTTTGAAAAGTGGACATTCTAAGTTCCTTTAATTTAGATGAACAATTTAATTAATTTAAATTTATTTTGGAGAGAATTCAGATGTTTCCTCATTAATAACTAAGAATATAAAAAGAACTTGTAAGTGAATTTATCTCTTGTGTTTTTATTTTAGATTTTGAAGATGACGATCTCTATGGCCAGTCTGCAGAGGATGATTATTGTATTTCACCATCAACAGGTGAATTTTTAAAAATAATTTGATTTTCATTATTTGGGTATTTAAAAATTTTAAGTAAATGTTATTGTCATTCTAGGACAAGCATGTTCCAGGAGACTGTTATATTATGTACCCTTTAGAAAGATAATTGTATGTGAACTTTAAAGGTATATAAGATAATTACTTACGAATGGAATTTAAAATTTTGATTCCATCATTTGACTTTAAACAATTTGAAGAAAACTCTGGTTTTCCAATATTCTTTGCAGCGTGCAATTAATCTGAATTGACTAAAATGGTAATTTAGTCAATAATGAAAATCTAAAACTTCTGAAGGCAGACAGCAGTTAATTTTATATTCCCAGGAAAATCTTGAATATTAGAAACACTGAAGTGTTATGCATAGACTTCCCTTCATACAGTACTTTATCTACTGTAAATAAACCAAATACATGTAATTCAAACTTCTGATGGAACTGCAAAGTGATTTAGAGTTCAAATTTCTGTAGGATTCCACATAAGAGCTGCATCTTCTGTCTCATTTACTGAAAAATTTCTTCTTTGCGGCCATGTAACAAAAACATTTCCTATGTTCTTTACAGCAGAGACTGTCTTTATTTTTATATATATATATATATATATATATATATATATTTTTTAATGTCTTTATTGGAGTATAATTGCTTTACAGTGGTGTGTTAGTTTCTGCTTTACAACATAGTGAATCAGCTGTACATATACACATGTCCCCATATCTCCTCCCTCTTGCGTCTCCCTCCCACCCTCCCTATCCCACCCCTCTAGGTGGTCACAAAGCACCGAGCTGATCTCCCTGTGCTATGCAGCTGCTTCCCACTAGCTATCTATTTTACGTTTGGTAGTGTATATATGTCCATGCCACTCTCTCACTTCGTGCCAGCTTACCCTTCCCCCTCCCCGTGTCCTCAAGTCCATTCTCTATGTCTGCATCTTTATTCCTGTCCTGCCCCTAGGTTCTTCAGAACCGTTTTTTTTTTAGATGCCATATATATGTGTTAGCATACGGTATTTGTTTTCCTCTTTCTGACTTACTTCACTCTGTATGACAGACTCTAGGTCCATCCACCTCACTACAAATAACTCAATTTCGTTTCTTTTTATGGCTGAGTAATATTCCATTGTATATATGTGCCACATCTTCTTTATCCATTCGTCTGTTGATGGACAGTTAGGTTGCTTCCATGTCCTGGCGATTGTAAATAGTGCTGCAATGAACATTGTGGTACATGAGAGACAGTGTCTTTGATCCAGACCTTTTCTCACTAATTTCCCTAACAATGCGTTTGTCTTCAAATTTTAGCCTACTCTATAAACAGTTGGTTAAAATGTCTTGATAAATTTTACTGTGCCATAAAAGCGGGTACAATTACATATAGTTATGTACAGCATAAATATAATTCATAAAACTCATTTTCCACAAGTTGAAAGGTTTAATATAGTAATTAAAATTTCTATCAGTGTGCCTTGTCTTTAATAACTTATCGTCTTCTGAGCTGCTTTGTGAACCTGCTTTATGCCTCCTCTTAGTCTCTGAAGACCAAATATGTCCCTTCTGACTTTTTAGAATTTCTTTTTCTTTATAAAGGCATAGGTGCTCTAGAAGTTGTCATAGCACCTCTATTCTTCCTGTCATCTTTTTTTCCTGTTACTTATTACTCTGTAATGCATCTAGCTCTTTATGTGTACTTTAATCATTTAGCCTAACCAGAGCCTTTCTTCTCTTCCTTTAGTGTTACACTGTTATCAGTCACAATTTTGTTAGGAGATAGAAATTGCACCAGTTGTTTTGCCAGAGAGATTCTAATGTAAAAAGTTGTTAACTAGGTATTAGAGACAAAAAATGCAAACCAAAATATCAAGGAGGTAGTAACTTTAGGAAGCATTTATCATCTCTAGTTCCTAGGGGAACCAATGGACAAGGTTGAAGCCAACCTTTAGAATCTGGTGGGGGGCTCCTTTGAGCTGGGACCTAGATGTGTAACAAGAGGGTTCTGCTTTGTTGCTTTGCCATTGAAGTTCAGAGGAGGGACTGTAGAGCTGGGACTGAGACCTGAGTAGGGCATGCTCTGTGGCTGGTGTCTGAAGGGACACTGTGAAGCTGGGCTTCAGCCTTTTGAAGAGGGAATTCTAGCAGGCTGTATGGTCATGGTTGAAGCTGGTTCTGGGAGTTTTGGAAAAACTGAAAACTGATATAAATTGCAGTTACTGGAACAAATGATTTCTGCAAGATGAAGTGTTGCTGGGGTGATGGTGACCAGATAAGAAACAAAAAGGAAAGGAGCATGTGTGTTCCTCTTCCAGCCTTCCAGTCTCCCTTTAGCATCTCCCTGTTGGCTCATCCTAAAAGGGAGCCAGCTGTCATAGAAGAAATGTGCTTTGCAGACTTCAACCCCAGCGTCACAGAGCAAAGAGACTGGGTTAGAAGCTGAGAGGCGGCTTAATCAGCATTCCTTTAAAGCTTCTTACTCAGTGATTCAAAAAGACCATATTTTGTAGGGATTAGGGATAAAAGAAATTTCAGTTTTTCCAAGGAACCTCCCAGGCACTTGTCATTTGCGGTGTGTTAAAAAAAAACTCTATGGGTTAACCTTTTGGGGGTGCCTACAGTTCATTATCATCAGTTGACTAGGTGACAAAGTAATGTCTGGTAGCACTAACTAGTATTACAAGTGAAGTAAAGGTCATGGCATGTTCATGAAACTGAGAAGGTGATGTGGGTGTGATAATTAGATTTGAGTTTTTAAAAAAAATCTCATATAATAGAGACTGGATTGAAGGTGGTACATAAGTGGTTGTAGATAGAGTAGTTAGGAGACTATTATACTAATCTAGAGGAGATGAGGATATTTCAGGACTGTGTTCTCAAAATGTGGTCCATGTATCATTTGCATTACTTGAGGATTTGTTCGAAAAGTAATTCTGGGCCCCACCCCGTAGTCAGAAACTCTTGAGGGTGGGACACAGCTACTGCTTTGAGAACCATTTGTTTAGGAGAGGGGTGACAGCAGGGGATTTGCAGATAGATTCAAGAGATAATTGCAGGAGCTAAGGTCTACTTGGAAGTTGGTTGACTATGGCTTGCACAAGGAAACCTTCATAGGGAGAGGGACTACTGAAAGACATCTTAATATTGCAGATTAATGCATTCATTTATCTAGGCTTGTCTAAATAAATCATGCTTAACCTTGAGTAATGAGCTAACACTACACAAGGTCAGGCATTCTGAAGGTGTTTTTTTGAGATTTGCTTTTATGGCCTACCTTTCTTGAGGTCATAGTTTATCCCTTGTCTCTCACAGCCCTTGATATGTATCTTGTCTGTGGTTCATATTCAGGACAGTCTGACTCTTTGAGAGTTACTTTTGTATACTCCAGGAAGTCAACCGACTTTATCAAAGCAGGAGATAGTTAAATGGTTTTGAATTTCTTCTGTGACAAACTGGTATTTTTAACAAAAGCATGTAGTTTTGGATTTTTAAATTTTCCAGAACATGTATAAAGTAGTAGTAATATCAGATCAGACACTTTTCCTCTTTAGTGGTATATTTTTCCAAGCAATTTTCAATTAAAAAATGAATAGTTTTAGAAGGATACTTTCTGTTCTTAAAGAAGCAGCTAGTGTCATCGAAGAGATGATTGAATTCATCGTCTAATGAATTCTGGTAATTGAATGACTTTATCAATTAATAGGAGTTTCTCTAAATTTTATTATATATATTTTTTAACTCTGCTAAGCACAGTTTTCTTGATGGAAAGGTGATTTCTAAATGTTATAGCTTTTTTTTTTCTTTAGAAAGATTGACTTTGATGCTGAATATTGAACATACATTAGGGAGCTGGTGATAGCAAAAAGAGCCTATAAATAAAACTTTGAACAGTTATAAATCTTGTTTCAACTAATATAATTAGAAGTGGTAAAAGATAAACTGAAGCATATTAACATTTTTAAGAGTTTATTTGAGCAGATATCAGTTTGAATCAGGTAGCTCCAAACTGGAAGTGGTTAGGAGCACTCCACCAACAGGAGCTGGGGCAAGGTTTTTATAGAGAAGACATGAAGCAAAGCAAGGAAATTATTTGGTTGGCTACAGCTTAACCCATTACATTATTTGGGGGAGAGTAGTTGGCTTTCTGTGATTGGTTGTTCTTAATCCTGAGGCCTTTGCAGGAATTGGCTTTGGATTGGTTTTCCCTTTGCAACCAGGGCATTAGAGCCACTTCAGTCTCATGGCCTCCTTGTATGATTAATTTAACAGTAGTTAACCTTGTTCAGTCCATTCCATGTTAATTTATTGAGCATCAATTAACATGTAAGGAAGCTTGTTAAAAGTTCCCTTCAAATGACAGTATGGTGGGTAAAGAAGTAGTCCTACCTGAAGGAGTCTGGAAAGGTTTCTGGAAGGAGGTGGGATTGGGACTGGTAAATTTGGGAGTAAGAATGGCATCCTAGAGAGGAAACAACAGTGCTTGAGCAGTGGCCTCTAAGTGAGGCATGTTTGGGAAGACTCACATGATTAATGCCGTTGCAGCACAAAGAGGGCTCAGAAAGGAAATAGCCAAATTGTGGAAGACGGTTTTTAATTTTAGGTGTGTAGTTTTAGCTTATTGAAGGTTTTTGAGTTAAGGGGGTCATGTTTTAGGAAAGTAACTGATGACAGTATACAAAGTGGACTACATCTGGGACAGATGAAAGGGGAGACTTGTAGGCTCTTTCCTACCTTCCCTGATGATACTAATCAGCTGGGAGTAATTGTAAAAATAGAGATTCCCTGCCCCATTCCAACACCACTTAACCAGAATCTCCAGGGGAAGAAGCCTAGAAAGCTGTATCTTTAATGAGTGCCTCACATGATTTTTATTTTAAGATGTTTAGGAAGCAATATTAGGCAATTGCAGGAGTCAGGTTTTGAATTCTCTGAATTTTTATGTTTATCAAAATGCTTTAAATTGTAAAAGTCACTATGGGTGTCCAATTTTTCAGAA